GTCAGTCTGAGCTCTAAGAGATAAGTCTCCGGCAGGCGAGAATCTAGCCGGAACTGTGTTTTGCTATCTGGGTGGCTAGGCGTGTATCAGCAAACTAATAAAGCCCGAAAAAAGCCCTGAACTTAGCGAATAAACAGTGTTCCACCAGGATCATGTATGTCAGAAACTATAGTTTACTGCTGAACTCATTTTGTCATGGTAAAATAACACAGAAATCGAATAATAACATTTCAGTCTACTTCAGTCTCCTGCCGAAGCTCAGACGCCGCGCTTTGAGAAACTGTCAATCACAGCTGTCAATCACGATGACACACCCAGCATTAAATTACTGCTAAAAACAAACTGTTTACAAAAATGAAGATCTGCACCTATTTCAGCTCAATAACCAGTGCCTTAATCGACCAGAAATATCTTTTAGGGACATTTTATTGCAAGTGTAATATTTTTTTTTATTTGGGCTCAAGTCTCCTTCATTAACACGGAGGAGGCGGGCTTTATGACTTGTACTGCAGCCAGCCCCCAGGGGGCGATCTAACGGCCAAAACCTTCACTCAAACGTAGGCTTGCGGCACACTTGGTTCATACATGTTGCATTTATTTATTTATTTTATATAATTGCAGACGTTACAGTAGGCTATTTCATTAATCATTGATCTGCAGTTATAATCAAATCCTATTCATAAAAGGTTATTAATGAACACGTATACACGTATTTATTTGTATAAAGCATCTGTTTTTTTGAGACATGCTTCTCATATGACATTTGAACGACCCGTACAGCTTTACTCCGACATTTCCTTGAGCGAGAATGACGTCGATCGAAACGTTCTGTCTTACATCACACCCACCAAAATAGATGTACCCCGTATAAATAGATGTACTTATGTTTACAAACTGTTTATTCAGTTAAAGATGAATTTTAAACTGTAGGCCTACATAAGTTTAAAGCAGCAATTTTTGATCCCCCTAATCCGACTAAACTCATAACTGAACTATACAGAAATGGAATTAAGACGTGGAGTATGCAGATAATAGTGGCATTATTGAAGTAAACACTGCGGTCTTTAGGACCTTTCGCCATATTTTGCGACAAGATCCACACGCGGCTGTCAGTAAAGGACCGCACACACACACACACGCACGCACACGCACGCACGCACACACACACACACACACACACATCACGAAATGCGAAAGTTTTTTTCTTTCAATTTGGCGTACGCTATTAAATTCCAAAATACTCTCACCAGTCCTTACTCCTTATTTGCATCTAATACCCCAGTTTGTCCCGACGCCATGAATGAAATGTTCTAGATTGACTGATAAACTGCATTTAAAGTCAGGCATCCTGCTGATTTGATTCAGTAGGGCACTCTTTTGTCAGACGGCACACCGGTCAGGTATACATCCACGCTAAAATATCAAGGTGAAAGTCATCATAGCTTGCGTGAAATAGACCCAGCTCCCAACCAAACTTTAAGAATACATGAACGGCATTTTTTTTTTTTATCACACGATAAGAATCTCGCATTAACGGCCCACCACTATTGTATATACGTATTCTTTCAGTTTGTATATTCATTTCAGTAATACTATGTCCACTGCAAAGAATTGTTTTAAATATGACGCGGCCCTCCACAAAGCTTACTGAAGACCCCTTGTGGCCGCAAACCCCCTGTTGGGAACTGCTGCACTAAAGCATCTCACCCTGAATCTATATAAATATTTTCTGATATTTATTCTTCATATTTCTTGATTTATGCAAGAGTTATTATTCCACAAAGAGACAATTTCTGGTATTTTATGCAACTTTGAGGGAGGTATTATTTATTATTTTATTAGGTTTATTTTCTAATTGAACTTTTATTAGAAAATGGTGTCATTGCACATGCATGTACACGCAAAGGTTTTCTAGGTAATTACATTTTCTAGGGAAAAATAAGTTGCAATTAAACTTCCTGTTTTTTATTTACAACATTTTTGCTTAAGCCTAGAAACTGCTTTTAATAGCCTCTGATTTTCACGTTCTTCTACAAAATTTAGAAACATTAATAAAACATCTGGATTATCTTTAACTAATCTTTCTGCGTTTAAAAAATATTGTAATATATTTTTAATATCTTATCATTTTAATTTTTTTTTTTTTTTTTGCCAATCGTATTCATTCATTTGTCATTGTAAAATATTTCTCATCAAAACTTGCTAAACTAATTTCGCTTACAAGATTAATACTGGTTGTACATTGTTTTGGACATGTTAAAAAAAAGTTGAAGGCAGATGTCAAATATGCAAGTCAAATAGTCGCTGTGCTTGACACATGAGTCAAAGACGTGAGGGCAGCTGGAGAAATGTGGTGACCTGTAATGACTGTCAAACCTCTAAATGCGTATCCCATATAGCAGCTCTGAAACGTGGTAACAGCATCATGGGGAAGTGATTAAAGCAAAAAACACACATCAAGGAGCCTGTTGAGAACTTGATGTAGAGCATTAGATGGAAAAGAGGGATAAAAATGAGGAAATAGACAGGGGAGAAAGGGACAACTAGAAACTATTTATTTTTTTAAGGAAAAACAAAGTGATCTGGGCTGCTGATTAGCTGAAAGTGAAACTGGAGAGCAGGTTAAGAGCATTGCCTGTGATTACTACAAAGAACACATGGCGGGAGAGTGAAATCAAGACTTAAAAATGTATAGATAGCAGATATTGGTCAATACACCAATCCTGTGGTGTTGTCAAAATTTCAAGTCACATTTAGGACTTTTTAACACCAAAACTGCCACGGGGGTCTAAATTATCCATAACTGCTTTTCAAATGAACACGACAGGTTTATCTTAATAATGTTTGACTAGATATTTTCAAGATACTATTATTCAGCTTAAAGTGAAATTTAAAGGCTTAACTAGGTTAATCAGGAAAGTTAGGGTAATTAAGCACATCACTGTATAGTGATATACTTTCAACCTTTAACTCTGTGAAAACAAAGGTATAATACAGTGGCATACTATATGCTTTTAGCTTTTTTTTTTTTTTTGAGAAAACATTTTACAAGTAACAAAAATATTGGACCTTATTATTTAAAGAAAAAATGACCAATAATAAGGTGTGTAAATTTTGAAGCATAAAAAAGTTAATTTTAATACTAATTAGACTATTTTTGTTATCCATGAATATTCACATGTACTTTTTTTTTTTTTTACAAGAGAGGCTAGAAAAATCAGAAAGCTTCTATATTAAAATTATTATTATGATCATGTGTATATATTTTTTTTTTCAAGTTGCCAAATTCTGACTGAGGAAAGTTGAATACATTGGCCAGTTTATTTGCTTAATAAATGACAATAGGCTACTTAGCCTTAATACATCCATTTTCTTTTCGGCTTAGTCCCTCTATTAATCTGGAATGAACTTATCCAGCATTTGAACTTATCCAGCATTTGTTTTACGCAGCGGATGCCCTTCCAACTACAACCCATCACTGGGAAATATTCATACACTCTCATTCACACTCATACACAATGGACAATTTAGACCCAATCCACTTATAGCGCATGTCTTTTGACTGTGGGCGAAACCGGAGGAAACCAGGGCCAACATGGGGAGAACATGCAAACTCCACACAGAAATGCCAACTAACACAGCCAGGCTCAAACCAGCAACCTACTTGCTGTAAGGCGACAGTGCTAACCACAGCGTCACCACTTCGCCCCTAGCCTTGATAGGTAATTTTTAATTTAAAACTTTATCCTAGGGCTGGACGATATGGCAAAAATGCAATTTTGAAATTTTTTTTCCAAATTGAATGATAATGATGTATGCTTCAATATAAGTAGTTAATGCCCCCAGGTTTAAAAGAGTACCCCAAAAATGACTGAAGCCACAAAAATAAAAGGGTCTATTGAATAGCATAACATATTTTCGACTGATACATTTTCGGCAGAATCTCTAATATTAACACACTTTACATTCCCATTGTTGCACATTTCTGCTGCTTGATTGGCTTTTAGATCAGTATAAAGTAAAAAGTCCAGAGCTTATCATTTTTATTGACATAAATTGTATCGCTATTTGGTATAATATTGTTTATTGGCCCAGCCCTACTTTAACAGATTCCTTTTTTTTTCATAATGATATTTAATAAATAAAATAATATCATAAGTACAAAAGTATAAAATAATTCATTTATTTTCTTTTCGGCTTGATCCCTTTATTAGTCTGGGTTCGCCACAGCGGAATGAACCGTAAACTTATCCAGCATATGTTTTACGCATTTGGAAACATCCATACACACTCATTCACACTCATACACTATGGACAATTGAGCCTACCTAATTCACCTGTACTACGTCTTTGGACTGTGGGGGAAGCCTAAGCACCCTGAGGAAACCCATGCGAACGCGGGAAGAACATGCAAACTCCACACAAAACTGCCAACTAGCCCAGCTGAGGCTCGAACCAGCGACCTTCTTGCTGTGAGGTGACAGCACTACCTACTGCACCACTGCCTCGCCGTATTAATTAATACTTATTTATTTATTTTTTTCATATTCCTTTATTGTAAATCTTTAGGAATTTTTTGTTGTACATCAAAAAGTGTGGTTATGATGGCCACCCGACAAGCTAATCCAGAAATAAATAGTGCTTAAAATGTCACTAAAATGCAGTGTTTAAACTTTAAATGCTTAACTTTAAATAGAAAACGAGACAAATACCTGCAAAAAGGTCTACTTTTTGAGGAAAAAAAGATCCGCCCCTTTCACAAGGCTGGCTACGGGCCTGTTATGGGACATTACATCTAATTTGCTGGCATTAAGGAGCCACTGTGTACATGTAGGAGACTTGGGATGTCTGCATCACCGTCTTGTGAAAAGAGTCCATTGACAAAGGACTGTGAAGTGATAATAAAACTAGGGTCACTATAAGTGCAGTTGTGCTAAATGTGTGTTTAACTCCTAGGCTAGCCATGAAAATGCTAACTCTGTGTGTTTGTGTCTTCTTACCTGTACTGCACCAGTGTGGTCGGTCACTGTTCCCAGCTGCACGTATTGCACCTGAATATCATTGGCCTGGAGAGGAGATGCATCGACCCCACCAGTCCCATCTGTCGAAGCTACTGCAATGAGCTGCGGTCCTCTTAGAACCTGGAGGGAAAAAACAGTTTATTTAACCAAACAGAGCTCATAGTTATCTACATTAAAAATTACTTGTCGATAATAACAAGGCAATAATGACGAGGCAATACTCAGTGCCAGTAAATTAAAAGAGGTTTCGTTGATGGACAATGGTTAAAATGTATAAACTCTCGATACCCAAAATGTCGCTATATATGAGAATGCAGAAGTCTATTTGCCCCTTGTGCTCTGTCGTGGTTATACTTCAAATAGGCACTTAAATCATACTGAAAGACTTTCACCTTAATTTGTTTTTTCTCATGGTCGAACCAACCCAAATCAACCCAATGTACTCTTAATAAAATTGTTCTGTGTAATCATTGTTTAAGTCATTGTGTTAAAGGCATCCTGGATGTAAAAACCTATAATATAACATTAACTGTAAGTGACATTTTTTTATTAAGTGTATGATATGCAAATAAAAGGGCGTGGCTAACTCATAAAACTAAAAAAGATGCATGTAGGACTAAAGGTCAAATTATACAACTATGCGAGTGCACACCGTAAGTTCAGCGTAACCTTCAAACACTCGCATATTCTGATGTACACCTCCAAATAAATGTAACAACACATCAAAACGAGGCATACATGAGATCTGTGATTGGTCAGTTTGAAGGGTGGGCGAGGCTGAAAGGTTGCGCAAGTGTTTACGAGAGTCACCTGTGCAGTAAACCTGTCTCAAACCATAAAGGAGCTCCAGATAAAGAATTAATTTTGTTCGTTTCTTATGATTAAAGTTGTTGAATGTTAACTTTAAAGTACTGTTACATTAGCAATGTATGCATTTCCGGCTAAACTCCAAATGCCGTCATACGGAAAAAATTAGTGCAGAACAATAGTAACGAAATAGTAATGAAATGCAGAAGTATAAATGCTGTGCCTACATGAATAAATTATGGTTATTTCTTTATAAACATGAAGAAATAACAATATAAATATGAGCGAGTCACAAATATATGTAAAGAAAAAAAACTGTACAATAATGCTTTAAATATTGTTCTATTCCTCACAGAGATGAAGCATTTCGCTTCATTATACCTCATTGTAGCATCAGAACCCATGCTTGTTCATTTTGTATTGGTGTGTATTAAGCTTGGGCAGTAATGCTGTACTATGGTATACCGCGGTATCTAAAAAGAGAGTGTCAATTTCAATACCGTTATACCGTCATAAAAAACAATGCACTTAAATAGGAGACATGTATTAAATAATAAAAATTATTTATTTAATGCCCACAAATGCGTATGCGTGAATATCATCATGGGACAGTGTGGTGGAGAGAGAGAGGGATGAGGTAAGATGGCGAGTTGCGCACCAAGTAACCTGCAGTTTGGCAGTATTTCGACTGAACGAAAAGGGAGACGTGGTAAATATGAACTAGAAGTCTGCAGTCCAGCTGTTGTACCACGGAAGCCGCGGGACCCGACCAGATTTCTTGCGGTGCGAGGATAAATTTCAGAATAAAGCGTGAGACCGGTTGGTAACTCTGGTATAAATTAAAATGGAGGGGCGTGCGGTCTAATAATATCACTTCCGGGCGAGCGAGCGGGCTTGGTGCTCTCTCTATGTGTGTGTGTGAATGAGAGAGAGAGAGAGAGAGAGAGAGAGAGAGAGAGAGAGAGAGAGAGAAAGAGAGTGGTGCTGTGCGTCACTTGGTGCTGTTTTTCTTTCTCTCTCTGAGTGTGCGTGCGTTCGAGCGTGCGTGCATATGTGTGTGTGTGTGTGTGAATGAGAGAGAGTAGATCTAATACAAACAAGACAAACAGGTGATCTCGAACCTAAGGTCGCATATGCAGTATTCAGTTTCTAAATGGTTTAGGCACAAGCCAACAGTTTGGTGACGCAGTCTGAGCCTTACGTCATCATTTTTTTTTTATTATGCACAGGTAATACTGGACACTGATGTAAAATAGAGAGGAGGTTTGTCGGTATCAAAATTTGGATACCGCCCAAGCCTAGTGTGTATATACATTTTCTGACTCTCAAAGTTAAAAAAAGCTTTTATAAATCAGCAGGGATTACAGTTTTAATTAAAAATCTTTTTGAATGTTCTGCTAAAAAAATATGTCACCCACTATCTAATATAGTTTGCATGAGTTCGCATTTTCAGGCCACTATAATGCCGATGTTTTATAGATGAATGGGCAGAAAACAAACAGTTAAAAAAAATGTAAAAACTGTTTAGTGTGAATGCTTGTAATCTTTTCTTTGTTGCTGTTACTTGATAGAATGAAATGAAATATTAGAAACTGAATTAAATATTATGAAATGTTACTGCTTTAAAGAGTGGGTTTATATAAATCAAGAAACTAGTCAAGTTCAACCATTTGAATGCTTATAGAAAATAAGCATTTTCGAAATTAGCTAAAGCTTACAAATATCAGGGCTAAACAAGAAAAACTAAAAGAACATAAGAACTAATAAGAACAAAATGAATGCAATAAATTGATTAAAAGGAAAAAATAGCACTATGATAAGCTATTGGGAAACTTATTTATTATGGGAAAGCGCTCATTGTCATTTGTTTTTGCTTGTTGTTGTGTCTGGCCCCAATTCCTTAGACGCAACAAGCACACGCTGATAAAATCCCCCAATGAGGCTTAATATTTGTAGTGAGAATCATTCCTTAGTGACGATGTGACTAATTTCAGTGACTAATGCTGTCTAACATGTGAATGGTTTGACTGTAAAACTGGAGTCAGACAGCAAATCAAATTGAACTGCAAGCTGTTCTCTAAATTACCAGAACAAATATTCTACACATGAGGAATCGAAACAGCCAGCTGAGCCATCGTAATATCATTTACATTTAATGACACTAATAATTCTGGGTTTTAAACCGTTTTCCTTCATCTAGGGAGATGCACTGTTATTGTTCAATAAAAGAAAACTGTTTGAAATAATGTTGAGTGATTGAAATAAATGTAAGTGCTAAAGTTACAAGAGCAAATAAAAAAGCGAATAAAATGAGTACATGATTTATATGAGTCCTAAAAATCTACATGGAGTAGAATACAAGCTACTAACAAAAAAGTAGGCAATGGCATTGAAACTACAAAAAGAGGCAATTTTTGCATTTATTCACCAAACATAATTAATATCCAAATTAGACTGACTGCTGTATATTTTAAATATTTCAATGGTAAATATGAACAACCTCAGCAGGCACAGGACATCAACATGTGGTCACATTGACATTGTACCCCAACGGTGTGGGGACGTTGCATTTTAGGTGGAAATGAAAACCGGGTTGACATCAAAACCTAACGTCAGACCTACATCAGTGTCCAACACTGGACAGACTTTGGCTTTTAGACTCTTTCCAACCCAGCCTACAAACCAACAAATATCAACGTTTAGGGATGTTACAGCTTGATGTTGTTTGAACGTTACCAATATGGCGTCTATGAATTTTTGTTGCCATACCTGACAAATAAATGTCAGCATATGACGTCAGTATGAAATTGGTTTAAGATGTTGGCTTGACATTAAACTTAACAACCTAAAATCAAACGAATATCAACATCATTTGATGTTCAACTATTCATTCATTTTCCTTTAGCTTAGTCCCTTTATTCATCAGGGGATACCACAGCGGAATGATCCGCCAACTTTCAAAAAGCATATGTTTTACACATTGGATGCAATTCCAGCTGCAACCCAGTACTTGGAAACACCCATAAACTCTCGCATGCACACTCATACACTACAGACAATTTAGTTTATTTAATTTACTTATACAGCATGTCTTTGGACTGCTTGGGAAACCGGAGCTCCTGGAGGAATCCCATGTCAACATGTAAACTCCACACAGACATGCCAACTGGACCAGCCGGTACTCGAACCAGCGATTTTCTTGCTGTGAGGCCTAACCACTGAGCCACCGTGCTGCCCTTTAAAGTCCTTTTTTGGACATCAAAATAACATTGTCCTTTGATGCTGGTTAATCATTGAATTTTGGTCACCCGACATCACGACCTAAATCTATTCTAATAACCTGGATCAAAACAAACGCAAGCGCAGGTTGCCAGATTGAGGACAGGAGCGAGTGATTTAAACTATGCTCTAAAAAAAAAAAAAAAAAAAACAGCACTCGATAGAAGGAATATTGACATTTATTGCCATACTACTGAAAGCAGCAGCAGACAGTTCACCTCAGATCTTGAAAATAAAATAAACCATTTGAAATTGAACTTTAGAACTAAAAATGTATGAGTGATTCAGCATGTATATTTAATAATGTTGAAGACATTTAAAATGTGTTAAATAGATTATAAACCATACCATTTTGTGAGTGAGTGCATATTCTGTGTTTCTGAATGGCTGCATTTAAATTTCAGTCGCGTTTCGTGTGTTGCAAACAGCCAAATTGCTTATCACTGCGTATCTAGTAGCGTGTTGTTAGGACATGCGGTTAAAATATAACCTGCTCAAATAATTTTTACATTCATAATGTTTTTTATTATTTGCTAATTATTCACTTCACATAGAACTGAATGTGTCTCATTTCGGAATCTGCTACTGTCCACAAGAGGTCACATTTTGGTCATTTGCACATGCTTTGAGAGCCTTTCTGAATGAATGAATGAAATACGTGGTTTTCCATCAAGGCAATCGGGGAGCTGAAATATAATTGGATACACTGGCATTGGACAGGTTAAAATGACCAAAACAAAGACAGCATTCGGCGTGTAAATCACATTTTCAAAGCAGAACAGCTGACTTTAGCATTGTTTTTCAGATAAACAATAATGTTCACTTACCATGTTTTTATATATATATACATATATTTTATATATGCAAACATTGTATGGTATTTTTATGCTTGTAAAGAGTCAAAAACTTACATACAGCACCATTAACATTTTATTATGTTGTGTATCTGCTGGGACTGCTATTGTAAAATGCTAACGCAATCCTAAGTGTCAACTTACTACAACTAAATTGTGTTTGTCATATTTAAATGATCG